CCTTCTGGAAAGTATGTTCATTTATCCATTCCTTGTGAAGTTCACTCAAATTCTTGAATCGATTTTGCTTGACAATCCTCATAAGGCTGCGGTTCTCTCGGTTGGTTGTGCATCTTTTTCTTCCACACTTTTTTCTTCCACTCAACTTTCTGTTAACGTGCTTGGATACAGAACACTGTGAACAGCCAGCTTCTTTGGCAATGAATGTTTGTGGCTCACCCTCCTTGTGAAGGGTGTCAATGATTGTCTTCTGGACAACTGTCAGATCAGCAGTCTTCCCCATGATTGTGTAGCCTAGTGAACCAAACTGAGAGACCATTTTGAAGGCTCAGGAAACCTTTGCAGGTGTTTTGAGTTGATTAGCTGATTGGCATGTCACCATATTCTAATTTGTTGAGATAATGAATTGGTGGGTTTTTGTTAAATGTGAGCCAAAATCATCACAATTAAAAGAACCAAAGACTTAAACTACTTCAGTATATGTGCATTTAATTTATTTAATACACGAGTTTCACAATTTGAGTTGAATTACTGAAATAAATGAACTTTTCCACAACATTCTAATTTATTGAGATGCACCTGTAAGCTTACAATTATGAGAAAAAAGTCACCTTTGTGAGAAAAAAGTTAGAATTGCAAAATATAAAGTTGCAATTGCAAGAAAAAGTCAAAATTGCGAGATATAAAGTTGCAATTGAGAGAAAAAAGTAAACTGCAAAAAGTCAGAATTGCAAAATATAAGCTCACAATTATGAGAAAAAAGTCAGAATTGCAGGATATAAAGTTGCAAGAAAACTTTGCAGAAAATCGCAATTCTGACTTTATGACATGCAATTGCAACTTGATATCACCCAATTCTGACTTTATAACTCACAGCTGAGTTTATATCTCGCAATTCTGAGAAAAACATTCAGGATCTTGATATTTAAACTAGCAATTGAGAGAAAATAAGTCAGAATTGTGAAATAAAAAGTTGCAATTACCTTTTTTATTTTTTGTTGAGTGGTGGAAACGGGCTTCCATAGTTAGCAGTGTTTGTTTTCGTTGTCACACTCATTTGTACGCTACTGAAGGTCAGGAATACAGATGTGTATTCGTCTGTTGTGTCTGGCAGGGATATCTCATAGCGAACCACCTGCCTAAAGAAGACCTTCTGGACGTGTGTTTGTACTGTCAGCATTACTGTCTGCTGCCGCTGGCGTCGGAGCAGCGCGTGGGGCAGCTGGTGGTGTGGAGGGAGGTGTTTCCACAGCAGAGAACCCAGAACAACACCGCATCACATCCTGGATACTGCCAACCACACGGAAGACACTTCCTGCTCATAGTGGGCCTGGTGAGAAACACTGTTCTTTTGAACTTTCTATTCATTAAAGACACAGAACATAAAATGTATCACAGTTTCCACAAAAACATGAAGCAGCACAACTGTTTTCAACACTGATAATAACCAGAAGAATGATTTCTGAAGGGTCATGTGACACTGAAGACTGGAGTAATGATGCTGAAAATTCACAGGATTTTAAAATATATTCACATGGAAAACAGTCATTTTAAATTGTAATGATATTTCACAATATCGCTGCTTTTTCTGTATTTTTGTTCAAATAAATGCAGCCTTGGTGAGAAGAAGAGTCTTGTGTACATATTTACAGAAACCAAAATTTCTGAAACACACCTACCGTGCTTCATAATCAGAGCAGAAGTGTTGCTACTAGACCAACAAGTCATGATTGATTTTCTAGCGCTGGTTTGTGGATTTATTCATGGACTGACAGTGGATGATGTCAGGATGAAGTTATCAAATTAAATGTCACAAATTGATTTGAGCACAATCAGCTGTTCAACAGTTGCTGATAAAAGAAGACCTTCTGGACGTGTGTTTGTACTGTCAGCATTACTGTCTGCTGCCGCTGGCGTCGGAGCAGCGCGTGGGGCAGCTGGTGGTGTGGAGGGAGGTGTTTCCACAGCAGAGAACCCAGAACAACACCGCATCACATCCTGGATACTGCCAACCACACGGAAGACACTTCCTGCTCATAGTGGGCCTGGTGAGAAACACTGTTCTTTTGAACTTTCTATTCATTAAAGACACAGAACATAAAATGTATCACAGTTTCCACAAAAACATGAAGCAGCACAACTGTTTTCAACACTGATAATAACCAGAAGAATGATTTCTGAAGGGTCATGTGACACTGAAGACTGGAGTAATGATGCTGAAAATTCACAGGATTTTAAAATATATTCACATGGAAAACAGTCATTTTAAATTGTAATGATATTTCACAATATCGCTGCTTTTTCTGTATTTTTGTTCAAATAAATGCAGCCTTGGTGAGAAGAAGAGTCTTGTGTACATATTTACAGAAACCAAAATTTCTGAAACACACCTACCGTGCTTCATAATCAGAGCAGAAGTGTTGCTACTAGACCAACAAGTCATGATTGATTTTCTAGCGCTGGTTTGTGGATTTATTCATGGACTGACAGTGGATGATGTCAGGATGAAGTTATCAAATTAAATGTCACAAATTGATTTGAGCACAATCAGCTGTTCAACAGTTGCTGATAAAAAAAAAAGTGTTATTGAAGTGTTAAGAGATTTTTTAAAACAAAGTTTTAAATGTTGCAGGAAAACTTTTTCAAAAGTTAAAATTTTTTGGGGTCTAAAATTTTTCAAGTGTTCTTGAAAAAAGTATCTTCTGCTCACAAAGGCTGCATTTATTTGATCAAAAGTACAGTAAAGTCAATAATACAATGAGATATTTTTACAATTTAAAATAACTTAAGTTTTAATACGTTTTATATTTAAAAGTATTTTAAAATGTAAACTTTTCTTGTTGTTATCAATGCTGACAATAGAAATGGTTACATTTTGCTGAAAATGTATTCACCCTCAGGCCATTCAAGATGTAGATGAGTTTATTTCTTCATCTGATCAGATTTGGAGAAATATAGCATCACTTGTTCACCAATGGATGCTCTGCAGTGAATGGGTGCCGTCAGAATGAGAGTCCAAACAGCTGATAAAAACATCACAATAATCCACAAGTAATCCACACCACTCCAGTCCATCAGTTAATGTCTTGTGAAGTGATAAGCTGCGTGTTTGTAAGAAACAAATCTGCAACAAATCTCTTTTAACTTTAAACTGTTGCTTTTGTCTAAAATACGAGTCCTCTATCCATAATAACGCTTCATTCAGTGAAAAAGTCACCTTGTCTTAATCAGGGTCGGCTCAATGTTGAGCTCTGCTCTGATTGGCTGTTTCACAGTGCGGCTCAATGTTGAGCTCTGCTCTGATTGGCTGTTTCACAGTGTGGCTCATTTCAGTAGCTCACACAGCAGGAAGGAAACACAGGGAAAATATATATTTCAATACTGTCTCTAGCAGTTATAAGGGGCATATATAGGGTCATTGAAACTGCTTTCGAATGCACGATCGCTTTTTACTTTCACTTTTGAGATTTGCGATCGCACGTGATCTGTGTAAACTACAGCGGCAGTACTTACCACACATTTGACAAGATCAGATGCTTGTCAGTGGTGCTCAGGATCTGTAAATCGTTCGCCATCATCCTCAGTCATCTCTCCTTACTCTGTTTATGTGGTAAGTGAAGTCTTATGTACTGTAATGTAACAGGCTACCGCTAGCAAGCAGCTAACCATGTCCCTTTAGTGGCGCGTTATTTGTTTTCCGTGCCTCTCTGAATACAGACACCAACCCATCCCTGCACATCACATCCCCTGCACAGCCTGGAACATAACATTTATTTCCATGATCTGCCATTTTCGCTATTATCCTCGCTGTTATTATTCAACTATGCCAAGGTAAATACAGTTTTCCATTCTATGGAACCTTTAATGATGGATTTGTAACAAACACGCAGCTTTTTACTTCACAAGATGGACTGGAGTGGTGTGGATTACTTGTAGGTTAATATGGTTTGAGCGCAATAATTGAACGATGAATTATTGAAAATATAATGCACAGCCAATGTATAACCGCAGTTTTTCCTTACTGATGTTTCCAGAGGCACTTCATGCAGTGTGTGTTGCTGGAGGCCGGTGGTTGTACTTCGCCCACTCTGGGATCTCCAGGTCCCGACTGCGTCTATGTGGATCAGGTCAAAGCCACACTCCTTCAGCTGGAGAGTCTGGATGCTGCCATTGAGGAGCGGCTCTCGGCTCCGCCCACTCCCTGCCTCTCCTGCGCCGATTGGTTCCTTCCTGCCGGTGGGCGGGACCGACATGACGGCATCGGCAGCTCGCCGATCCTAAACCGTCTGACGGCAGCCATAAAATCCCCATCGCCGGGCGGGATGGGGCGGAGTCTGTTCGGGGAGGCGGGGTCCTCGAGTTTAAGAGGACGGAGGCCAAGTCCACAGAGGAGTCTGTCTGACAGCGGCAGTGAGGGTCACGCTGACGGGACTTCAGGTCTGAGTCCTCATGCCACACCGCCCCCTAGTGGCACACGCAGAGACTCCCTCGGCTCCGGAGGGTCAGACGGCAGCCTGGGCAGTGCGGGATTTTTCAAGGTGTCTTATATTAATTACAGTTCATGTCATGTTGTTTCACTTGTAGTTTACATTTTTCAGTCTCATGAAACATCAAGAACATGTTCATCCCAAAATCAAAGGAATGAAATGATAAATTACATCATGCATAAACAAAATCAGTTTTGTTCAGCTCAGACAGCTATGGTAATACAGAAAAAAATATTCATATTATATATTATGGTGTATTATTTAAATTATAAAGTACATTTCTAATCCCAATTAAAGTTCAAGTATATATTGAAATTAATTTATGCAGAATTTTTTTAATATGTGTGTTTATGCAGTTATTATTTATAGTATTATAATGTATTATTTAAATTATAAAGTTAATTTTACTTCATAATTGAAGTTCAGTTATAGGAATTTTTCATGGTAGTATTTATTGTATTTTAAATTATGCAGATTTTATAAATATGTTTTTATGTGCAGATATTATTCATGGTATATTATATACATTGTAACTATAATTTTACCTCACAATTGAAGTTCAGCTGTGGAAATGTTTCATTGTGGTGTTTATTTTACTGAAATTAATTAATTCTTTTTTTTTTAAATATATGTATTTATGCAGATTTTATTTATAGTATATAATCATAGTATGTTATTTCAATTGTAGTTAATTTTGCTTCACAACTGAAGTTCATTTTTTAGAAATATTTCATGGTAGTATTTATTGTACTTACATTAATTTAGTTATTCAGATATTATTTATAATATATTATTTAAATAATGAAGTTAATTTTACTTCACAATGTTAGGAATGTTTCATTATAGTATTTATTGTACTGAAATGTAACCTCTGTCTTTTTGTTGATTTTATCATACACTTAGTGAAATTGATTATGATTATCTGAATTATTTTATTATCAAATTGCAAATAAGTGAAACTAAGTAAGTTTCTATATTTAAACATTTAAATCTGTTTCAAATAATTAAAAATGGTTTCACAATTAAAGCATAAAGTAGGTTTGTGTAGTATAACAGTCTATTGAAATTAAAGGTGAATTGTGTGATTTCTATTGCGCTAGCATCACCAAACTGAATTGCAAAAACTGAGATTGAATTCAGATTTAAACACTGACTTTGTCTTTCATTGCTCCAACTAAAGTTTGTCTTTCAGGTCAAGTTTCTCTAGAAAGTGCTGATATAAAACACTTGCTTTGTACTTTCCCATAACAACTTGCAGAAAAGGATAAGTGACATCTAAGTAATATTATTAGATTTTTCCAGCATGCAGTGAGATGTCAGAGCATATACTGTATATCAGCGCTGCATATGAATTATGATCCGGATGTCTGTTATTGAGTATGTGTCAGAACGGCCTCTCCTCTCATATAGCAGCGTCAGGAGCTGCCGTTATGAATCACGTCCATCTGAGTTCAGCTGACGGCACTTCATTTACAGAGTGGGCTCATAAATTCTCCTAGAGAGAGACAAGCTCAAGCAAGCGCATGGAAACTAGCTTTCCTCACATTTCTTGAGTCAGTCCTCGAGACTGCAGCAGACAGGAGCTGCGTTTGTTAGATGGAGAACATTTATACAACCAAGTCAGATAAAGTTCAGCCCAAGATACATTGCTATAAAAACAGGCCAGTGATATTTCATATTTGATTTTATTTAATTTTTATATAAACTTTAGTCTTTTTCTTTTACATTCCAGATTTAAAGTCACTTTATTAACAGTAACTCCTCAATAATAATATTTTGCATAGACCACCACAAAATGTAAGCCAATCGTTTTATTTTATTTTAAAGTTTAGGCTTTTTTGATTGACATTCCAGATTTAAATGCACTTCAATAACTATAACTGTTCAAAAATGTTTTGTATAGTCAAACCCAAACTGTAATCCAATTACTTTATTTTATATTTTATTTTATTTGTCTAGGCTTTTTCTTTTACACTCCGGATTTAAATGCACTTCAGTAACAATAACAATACCACTTCATTCATATTTTGTACAGTCCAGCACAAACTGTAATCTTTATGTGAACTTATCTTGTCTTTTGTGTGTGTTTTCTCTCAGATCCCCAGGTTAAAGCATCCTAACCCTTTCTATTTGGGCTCTTTGAGGAAGAGTCTGACTGACAGAGAAACTGAGGAGATGCACAACGTTCTCAAGTGAGTTTATCTAATCATAGAAAGTCATTTTATATTACTTATATATATATTTTTTTTCACCTTTTGTGTTTCATGGAAGAAAAATGTCAGAAGTGTACCTTAAGTCACTTTAAATGACTAAATGTCTTCTTACTCGTCAGGAACAGATTGATCACAGTTATCGTGTGTGTGTGTGTGCATGTGTATGTGTGTGCGTTTGTGTGTGTGTGCATGTGTATGTGTGCGTGTGTGTGCATGTGTGTGTGAGTGTGCATTTGTGTGAGTGAGTGTGCGTGCGATTGTGTGAGTGCGTGTGTGCGTCTGATTGTGTGGGTGAGTGTGTGCGTGTGCGTGTGTGTGCATGCGTGTGTGTGCATGTGTGCGTGCAAGAAAAATGTCAGAAGTGTACCTTAAGTCACTTTAAATGACTAAATGTCTTCTTACTCGTCAGGAACAGATTGATCACAGTTATCGTGTGTGTGTGTGCGTTTGTGTGTGTGTGCATGTGTATGTGTGCGTGTGTGTGCATGTGTGTGTGAGTGTGCGTTTGTGTGAGTGAGTGTGTGTGCGATTGTGTGCGTGTGATTGTGTGAGTGCGTGTGTGCGTCTGATTGTGTGGGTGAGTGTGTGCGTGTGCGTGTGTGTGCATGCGTGTGTGTGCATGTGTGTGCGTGAGTGAGTGAGTGAGTGTGTGCGTGAGTGAGTGAGTGTGTGCGTGAGTGAGTGTGTGCATGCGTGCGTGCGTGTGTGAGTGAGTGAGTGAGTGTGTGCGTGAGTGAGTGAGTGAGTGTGTGCGTGAGTGAGTGTGTGCGTGCGTGCGTGTGAGTGTGTGTGTGCCTGTGTGTGTGCCTGTGTGTGTGCCTGCGTGCGTGC